AGAAATCAAACTATTTTCAGACAGTAGAATCACCTGTATTAAAAAGAAATCTCAAAGAATCTTCAACAAAAGCTACCAGAGTGAATTGGTGAGTTTAACAAGGTTGTAGGATACCAGGTAAATACATAAAAATAAAATACTCTCTGTATGTGCATACATGCATATATACATACACACATAACACATGTGCAGATATCTTAAACAGCTTTATTGAGCTAAAATACCATGGAGTTCTGAACCATTTAAAGTGTATGATTCAGTAGTTTTTTTTTGCATATTTAAAGAATTGTGCAATCATCATTGTAATCTAATTTTAGAACCTTCTAATCACTTAAAAAAGAAACCTTGGCTGGGTATGGTGGCTGCCACCTGTAATCCCAGCACTTTGGGAAGCCGAGGTGGGCGGATAACCTGATGTCAGGAGTTTGAGACCAGTCTGGCCAATATGGCGAAACCCTGTCTCTACTAAAAATATAAAAATTAGCCAGTGTGGTGGTTGGTGCCTGTAGTCCCAGCTACTTGGGAGGCTGAGGCAGGAGAATCACTTGAACCCAGGGGGTGGAGGTTGCAGTGAACCGAGATTGCACCACTGCACCCCAGCCTGGGCGACAGAGCAAGACTCTGTCTCAAAAAAAAAAGAAGAGGAGGAAACCTTGACTCCATTTCCCTTAAATTTAATTTTCCAAATTTAATTTAATTAATTAATTAAATTTTGAGACAGAGTCTCACTCTATCGCCCAGGCTGGAATACAATGGTTCGATCTTGGCTCACAGCAACCTCTGCCTCCTGGGTTCAAGTGATTCTCCTGCCTCAGCCTCCTGACTAGTTGGAATTACAGGTGCCTGCCACCATGCCTGACTAATTTTTGTATTTTTAGTAGAGACAGGGTTTTGCCATGTTGGCCAGGCTGGCCTCAAACTCTTGACCTCAGATAATCCGCCCTCCTCGGCCTTTCAAAATTGTGGGATTACAGGCGTGAGCCACTGTGCCTGGCCCAAAATTAATTCTATTTTAATTTAATAGCAAGAAGCAGACCAGGTGTGTTGGCCCACACCTGTAGTCCCAGCACTTTGGGAGGCTAAGGTGGGGAAATCACTTGAGGTTAGGAGTTCAAGACCAGCCTGGCCAACATGGCGAAACCCTGTCTCTACTAAAAATACAAAAATTAGCTGGGCATGGTGGTACATGCCTGTAATCCCAGCTACTTGGGAGGCTGAGGCAGGAGAATCGCTTGAACTCAGGAGGTGAAGGTTGCAGTAAGCCAGGATCATGCCACTGCACTCCAGCCTAGATGACAGAATGAGACCCTGTCTCAAAAAAAAATAATAGTAATAATGGCAAGAAACAATTGGAAGCTGGAATTTTAAAATATCATTTATAATAGCATAGAAATGAAACATGTAAGGGATAATTTTTTCAAAACTACTGAGATAAAGATTATAAGTAAATGGAGAGATATGCCATGTTCATAGATGAATTAATTAAATTAATTAATTAATAGGCACTTAAAAAAATGAGGCTGGGCACGGTGGCTCATGCCTGTAATCGCAACACTTTTGGGAGTTCAAAGTGGGTGGATCATTGGAGGTCAGGAGTTTGAGACCAACCTGGCCAACATGGTGAAACCCTGTCTCTACTAAAAATACAAAAATTAGCCTGGCAGTTGTGGCATAATGGCAGCTGTGGTCTGTAATCCCAGCTACTCAGGAGGCTGAGGCAGGAGAATCCCTTGAGCCTGGGAGGCAGAGATTGGGGTTAGCTGAGATTGGGCCACTGCACTCCTACTCTGGGCGAGAGAGTGAGACCCTGTCTCAAAAAAAAAAAAAAAAAAAAAAAAAAGACAAGCTGCAGACTGGAAGAAATACTCACAAAACATAAAAGAATTTGTATCTAATATATATCAAGAACCTTTACAGTGTAATACAGTAAACAAGTGCAATACAATAAACAACCCGATAAAAAATGAGTTAAAAATTTGAATAGTTGAATAGTTTTTCAACAAATAGATTGCAAATGAGTACATGAAAAGATAGTATGTTAAAACCACAATGATATTAAAACCACTATATATATAGTAAAAGGCCAAAAAAAAAAAAAAACTAAACTGAATAAAAATACTGAAGAAGATATGAAGCTTATACATTGCTGGGTGGAATGCACATCCAATTTGGAAAGTAGTTTGACGGTTTCTTATCTAGTTAAACATACACTTATCTTATGACCCAGCAGTACCACTTGTAAGTATTTACCCAGCCAAAATAGACAAATGGGACCTAATCAAACTCCACAGCTTCTGCACAGCAAAAGAAACAGTCATTAGAGTGAAACGGCAACCAACAGAATGGGAAAAAATTTTTGCAGTTTACCATCTGACAAAGGGCTGATATCCAGAATTTACAAAGAACTAAAACAGATTTACAAGAAAAAAACAAGCCCATTCAAAAGTGGGCAAAGGATATGAACAGATACTTTACGAAAGAAGACATACATGAGGCTAACAAACATATGAAAAAATGCTCATCATCACTGGTCATCAGAGAAATGCAAATCAAAACTACATTGAGATACCATCTCACGCCAGTTAGAATGGCGATCATTAAATCTAGAGACAACAGATGCTGGAGAGGATGTGGAGAAATAGGAACACTTTTACACTGTTGGTGGGAGTGTAAATTACTTCAACCATTGTGGAAGATAGTGTGGCGATTCCTCAAGGACCTAGAAATAGAAATTCCATTTGACCCAACAATCCCGTTACTGGGTATATATGCAAAGGATTATAAATCGTTCTACTATAAGGACACGTGCACACGAATGTTCACTGCAGCACTGTTTACAATAGCAAAGACCTGGAACCAACCCAAATGCCCATCGATGATAGACTGGACAGGGAAAATGTGGCACATATACACCATGGAATATTATGCAGCCATCAAAAACGATGAGTTTGTGTCCTTTGTAGGGACATGGATGAACCTGGAAACCATCATTGTCAGCTAACTGATAGAAGAGCAGAAGATCAAACACCGCATGTTCTCACTCATAGGCGGGTGTTGAACAATGAGAACACATGGACACAAGGAGGGGAGCACTGCACACTGGGGTCTGTTGGGGGGAAATAGGGGAGGGACGGTGGGGGGTGGGGAGTTGGGGAGCAATAGCAAGGGGAGAGATGCCAGATGTGGGTGATGGGGAGGAGGGCAGCAAATCACACTGCCATGTGTGTACCTATGCAACAATCTTGCATGTTCTTCACATGTACCCCAAAACCTAAAATGCAATTAAAAATAAAAAAGTATTTACCCAAGAGAAATGAAAACATATGTCCGTGCAAATACCTCAAGGCAACCATTTGTTGGCTTTATTCATAATAGCTAAAAATTATAACTCAAATGTCATCAACTGGTGTATAAACAGATAGAAAAACTGGGGTGTATCCATAACGTGGAGTACTACTCAGCAATAAAAAGGAACGGAACACTGCTTCCTAACAATATGGGTAAGTCACAGATGCATTGTGCTAAATGTAAGAAGCCAGGCAAGACACCACATGTTCTATGATTCCATTTATGTGAAATTCTGGAAAAGGCAAAACCGTAGGAACACATCAGATCAGTGTTGCCAGCAACTGGGGATGGGTGGCATAAATTGACTGCCAAGATACCTGAGGAAACTTTTTTTTTTTTTGGAGACAGGGTCTCACTTTGTTGCCCAGGCTGGAGTGCCGCCTTGCACTCCTGGGCTTAAGTAATCCTCCCACCTCAGCCTCCTGAGTAGTTGGGACTACAGGCAGGTGCCACCACATCTGGCAATTTTTTTGATACAGAGTTTTGCTCTTGTTGCCCAGACTGTAGTGCAATGGCACAGTCTAAGCTCACTGCAGCCTCCACCTTCCCGGTTCAAGTGACCCTCCTGCCTCAGCCTCCCAAGTAGCTGGGATTACAGGCATGTGCCACAACACCCAGCTAATTTTGTATTCTTAGTAGAGATGGGGTTTCTCCATGTTGGTCAGGCTGGTCTCAAACTCCCAACCTCAGGTGATCCGCCCACCTCAGCCTCACAAAGTGCTGGAATTACAGGTGCGAGCCACTGCACCCTGCCAATTTTTTAAATTTTTTATAGAGATAAGGTCCCACTATGTTGTCTCAGGCTGATCTTGACCTCCCGACTTCACTTTAGTCTCTCAAAGTGTTATGATTATAAGCATGAGCCACCATACTCAGCTGGGAACTTTTTTAGAGTGATGGAAATGTTCTGTGTCTTGATTGTGGTGGTGGTAGTAATGCAACTGTATACATTGAGTAAAACTGATTTGAATTGTACAGTTTAAAAGGAAGAATCAGCCGGGCACAGTGGCTCATGCCTGTAATCTCAGCACTTTGGGAGGCCGAGGCCAGAGGATCACCTGAGGTCAGCAGTTTGAGACCAACCTGGTCAACATGTTGAAACCCCGTTTATACTAAAAATACAAAAATTAGCTGGGTGTGGTGGCATGTGCCTGTAACCACAGCTACTCCAGAGGCTGAGTCAAGAGAATCGCTTGAACCTGGGAGGTGGAAGTTGCAGTGAGCCAAGATTGCACCATTGCACTCCAGCCTGGGTGACTTTGTCTCAAAAAAAATAAAAATAGAGAATCTTATGTAAACCAATTCTCAATTTAAAATACATTTTAAACAACCCACAGATGTACTTCCAAGGTCACTTCCAGCTCCTGCCACTTCACAAGGCTTCCCCTGACCACCTCCTTGTTGCACCTCCCTCTTGTGTGTTCCTGTTAACTGCAGTGTGGGATCATTCCTCTGTGGGGCTGCATCAGCTGCTTGGGCGGTCACCTGCTGGACTCACAGCCAGACTGTCTGTTGGTGGCTCTGTGAGAGGCCGAGAGTGCTGACAGAGGTGAAGCAGGCTGAGGAGAGACTGAGAGACCTGGGTGGGCTTCTGCAAATGTTTTGTTCCTCCCTAAAGTACCTACTCAGTTATTTCTGCTGTTCCCCCACAGGTTGGGACAAACATTCCTATGGTTACCATGGTGATGATGGGCATTCCTTCTGCTCCTCGGGGACTGGCCAGCCCTATGGTCCCACATTCACCACAGGAGATGTGATCGGCTGCTGCGTCAACCTCATCAATGGCACCTGCTTCTACACCAAGAATGGCCATAGTCTTGGTGCGTGCATAAGAGACCTTGGAGGCTGTGCTCTGAGGAGTCACTTTGGTTGGTGAGAGGCTCAGGGGCAAGTGCTCAAGGCAGTGTCACCTCTGCTGAGCTCTGGGGTACTGCACCATTTCCAGGCATTGGAGCCCTTTCAGGTGAATAGAGGGTAGCAGGGGCATGCCTTTGTTCATCCAACCAGTCAGCAGCATTTATCCAGCCCGGGGAGGATGCTCAGAGTGCAGCAGTATCCTGGTCATGATCTTGGCTTGGTGGCGCTTGTTGGAGCAAGGTTTGGCATTGGATGAGAAGTTTGGGGAGCTCTCACATAGATTATATGGTGGTGGTTTGCGTGCCTGTGACCTGACCCAGACTTTGGTGCTGGTTGCTATGGAGCAGCAGTGAGGGCAGCATTAGTCCAGGAGGTAAACAGACAGGCTGGAGTCAGATGGGGCCAGACCTCTGGCCTGTTCTTGGTGAATGGGCAGCAGCTGGAGCAGTTGCATTGAAAAAGGCCTCTAGTGAAACCATGAAGGATGGACCAGAGTAAAGACCAGGAGAAGAGGCAGATGGCCTGAGGTAAGGCAGTGGGGATGGGTGCAGGAAAAAGGCCCAGGTGTGGCCCCGCAGGACTTGGTGACAGATGGGGTGCACTTGCAAGAAGGAAAGGTGGGAAAATGGCTAGATTAGTAGTGCTGTTAACCAGGAGAAAAACCCAGGAGAAATAGCAATCAGTGTAAGAGGATGGGGGCCTGTGGGATCCCTGGGAGGAACATTCCTGTACATGTGTAGACATTTAGGATTAGGACTTGAGAGAAAGAGAATTTTGCTATTCTGATGCCTTGCTTACTGGGTGCTAACTGCTATTTGGCCACATTGGCCCTGAGGTGGTGACTGACTGCTGAGTCTGCCTGCCTGGGTTTGCAGAGGTGTCTGATCTAGCCACACCCTAGTTCTCCCAGAATGGTATAGTGAGGAGAGGACTGGAAGAACTCTATCAGCCCAGCTGCCACCAGCCCAGGAAAGGGAGTTGGGCATTTTATTTGGGACCCAACTCCTAGAAGCCCCATTTCCCTTGGCGTAAGGGTCAGTAAAAAGGTGGCTGCCACTCTCCACATCCCCTCTATGACTTGTCCAGGAGGTGGACCCAGCTAGAATCAAGGGACCTGAGTGGGAATTGGGTTGCTGATGGCTGGGAGTGCATGCCTAGGAGCCAGCATTCCTCATCAGGGCAGCCAGACGCCCCAGCCAAGAGCCGGCAGGAAAGCCTTGATAGCTAGGTAGCCAAGAATGTAGCACAGACACTGCTGAGCTGACCTAGGTGTACATCGGAGAAACCCTACTCTGAAATTGATGACTACCTGGCTGCAGTTGCTAGTGACCAACTGGTGAGGAGCTAGTGGGTAGATGGTGGGCCAGGGCCTCAAGACAGCTCTTCACTCTCCACTCTGCACTCTGACACCAGCTATTTCTTGGCTCAGGTTCTGCTGTCAAAGTCCCAGCAGCCACTGTTGTGGGCTGTTACCCTGTATCCAAGCCCCCCTTCACCTGCCCCTTGGTATGCCTTCCTCATATCCCTGCAGCTTGCTCACATTTTGCTCATAGATGAAGGCATACTCTGCTGTTCCCTCTGCACCTTCATGTGCACTGGGACCACCAAAGGGCCATGAGCTCTTTGTCAGTCAAGTCCCAAGATCCCACGGAGAGCAGATGGCCACTTTAATGTCAGCTCAAACCCTTGGGCTGTTTTTAGAAACGTGTCTCCTTAATGGGTGTTTTTTATAGACCCCCATCCAAGACCTCACACATGTTGTAATTAAACTTCATCTAGTAGTACATTGCTTTTTTTTTTCAGCCTTTCAACACCTTCTGTTTTTGCTTGTTCTCTCTCAAATATTTGATAGTCTTTTCATTTTGTATTAATCTAAAATCTGTTAAACGTGTTTGTTTATGTTTTCATAAAGATATTGATAAAAAATATAGGAAGGAGAGAAGGTTAAGATTTGAGCCCTTCAGTGTGTAGTTGAGCTTGTCCAGAAAGACATCAGCCATTTAAGAGTCACTAAGTTGGCCGAGCTCGGTGGCTCATGCCTATATTCCCCGCACTTTGGGAGGCCAAGGTGGGTGGACGCTTGACCCCAGTAGTTCAAGATGAGCCTGGGCAACTGGCAAGACCCTGTCTCTATTAAAAAAAAGAAGAAGAAGAAGAAGAGGAATCACTTATTTCCTGAAGCTCATATTTTTCCATTTTCTCCACATGGATATTATTGAGACCTTACTGAAAACGGGATATGGCCTGTCCCCTGCATTTTCTAGATCACAAAATTTAATGGAAAGGCAATTAAGTTGGAGTGACAGACTGCATGGTGAATATTCTAATGTCCCTGTTTCCTTTTCCCAAGCCATCTTATCAATAATGTGCTTTAGAATTGAACAGCAGCAGATGCTGTTCCTTTACAGCAGCAGAATGATATTTTCTGCCTCTGGTCTCCCTGCCCCTTTCCTCTGTCACAGCCCTTCCCCTTGTGCCATTGGTCAATTGTCTGCAGCATTGTTAATTATATGCCATCTCTCCTGCTGGAATCTGAGGACCAGGCTTGCAGCTGTTTCTCTAGTCTTATGACAACAAATACTTGGTAGAAGGATGAAGGAATGAGTGAACAGAGACACGGACTGATGCCTCATTTGCAAGTGGTCCACATACCCACAGTCATTTCCACACAGCTCTCCCAAGGTCTTTATGTTCTCAGCCTCAGTGGTCCCTGACCTATGTCTGTTTGGCTCAGGGTACTCCTTATCAGCAAGTTTGGCTATCCTGTTTGCCTCCTGGATCTTTGCCTGAAGCTTCTTTCCATGGGCCAACTTGGATCTTACTATCAAAGAGACATTGCAGGCTGGAGGAGCAGTATTTCTCCTGTCCAGTGGAGTAGTGGGTGGAGTAGCGTCTTTCCTCATTCTCCTGGAAGCACCTCAAGGCCTTGTCCTTCCTGGGTGCCATTGTGAGGCAATTGGGCAAGCCTGGGTAGGTCATCCCTTTACCAAAAGTGTGGCAGTTGCCTTACCCTGTGGCACTACTGCAGCTGACTTGTACCTAGACTTCAGAGTTCATGAAGTAGCTTTCAGAGAATGTCTCATTTTCTCCCTTTTTCCTTGACGTCAAGAGATCTATATTATCTTTTTTTAGATGAGCTCAGAGAGGTTGGGTTACTTGCCAAAAGTCACACTGCATATAACTTACGGACTAGGACTCCCTCCCTTTTTCGAGGCTTTTGGGGGACTCCTCCATGATCCCTGGAGTCAGCAATATCCTGGCCATGCTGTGATCCATGAGGGCAGCTCCTGGGCAGACCTGCTGGGTGGACACTGGGGTCTCCTCCTGGGTACAGAGAGATTTCTAGATTCAGTCCTGCCAGCATGCTGGAGTCATGCCAACTGTGCATGGGAGGCCCAGAAGTGGCCTCAGACAGGCAGACCATGTGGCTTATGAGCATCCCTCAGTGAGAAGCAAACAAAATAGCCAAGCAAAGAATGTAAAGCATGTCTCTGCACCTTGGTTTTTTCATATGTGAACTAGTATCAGAGACAGTATACATCTTCCAAGGTTGTTCTGAGGATTGAATGATGCCTTACAAGACACTCAGTCCAGTGCCCAGAAGGGAGGAAGCATGTGGTATGTGCTGGCTGGCATGATTCCAGCCAGCTTTCTGGGAGACCTGTTGTCAGACCCTCCCCTGTTCTATTCCGCAGGGCATCAGTTTCTTTTCTGGGCAGGGGTTAGAGTAGCAGACTGGAGACCTCTAAGGAATCAGCAGTTTGAAAACCTCTGAGGCCAAAACCTCAGGAGCTTCTGGGAGATAGAAGACTTTATCTAAAAAATGAGAGGGCTTTGTGTCCTTGGGAGAGCCTCCACTGGCCCTGAGCCATTTCTCAGTCTGAAGAACATGGGTGCTTTGGTGGCCTGCTTATGTAGTTGGGGTCCCACTCCCCTCTACCCTTACTTCCAATTCAGAGCGGAGGTTCCTAGAAATGCAGCCCCTTCTCTTGGCACGAGGGTTTTTGACAGGCTTTTTTGGTTTTGGGCACAGGGTCTTGCTCTATCACCCAAGCTGGAACTCAGTAGCACAGTCATAGCTCACCGTAGCCTCGACCTGTAGGCCTCAAGTCGTCCTTCTACCTCAGCATCCCAAGTAGCTGGAACCATAGCTAATTTTATATATTTTGTAGAGACGGAGCCTCGATATGTTGCCCATGCTGGTTTTGAACTCCTGGTCTCAAGAGATCCTCCCACATAGGCCATTGTTAACCTGGGCTTTGCCAACTTGGAACCTCTGAGGACTCTGACTTCGTATGGTCTGAAGATAGGCAGCTGCCACCTTCCCTGTCTCTGCCTCTCTGTCAGCTTCCAGATGACATTGGAGCATCAGTCTGGGAATGAATCCAGCCCCACCACTTTTGTTAGCTTTATGATTATTGGCAAATTGTTGAACCTCTGAGGCTTATTTTTTTCCTTTGTAAAACGCGATAATAAAGCCTGGTCCCCAGAGTTGGTATGAGGATCAGATGAAGTAATAGATGAAAAAGGGGCCATGCCTTGTGGCTGATGCCTGTAATCCCAGCACTGTGGGAGGCTGAGGCAGGTGAATCACTTGAGGTCAGGAGTTCAAGACCAGCCTGGCCAACATGGCAAAACCCTGTCTCTACCAAAAATATATATTAGCCGGGTGTGGTGGCGTGTGCTTGTAGTCCAAGCTGCTCAGTAGGCTGAGGCAGGAGAACTGCTTGAACTCGGGTGGCAGAGGTTGAAGTGAGCCAAGATTGCGCTACTGCACTCCAGCCTGGGCAACAGAGTGAGATCGTCTCAAAAAAAAAAAGAATGGATAAGGATCTGGCATGCACAATGGGTTTCCATAAGTATGTGTCAAATCAAGAGAAGGATCAGGCCTGAAGGGGCTGTGGGGATAGATCTTTTGAATTTAGTTCTCCCTAGCAGGCTTTCCTTGAGGGTGGAAGAGTTATGGACCTACCTAAGCATCTGATTTCACTTCTGGCCAGGCCGCCCACAAAAAGAAGGTCATGGTCTAATTAAAACTGCCCTGTCGGGCGAAGTTGCTCATGCCTGTAATCCTAGCATTTTGGGAGGCTGAGGCGGGTGAATCACTTGAGGTCATGGGTTCAAGACCAGCCTGGCCAACATGGTGAAACCTGTCTCTACTAAAAATACAAAAATTAGCCAGGTGTGGCAGTGGCCACCTGTAATCTCAGCTACTCAGGAGGCTGAGCCAGGAGAATCGCTTGAACTGGGAGGCAGAGGTTGTAGTGAGCCAAGATCGCACCACTGCACTCCAGCCTGGGCAACAGAGGAAGACTCTGTCTCAAAAAAAAAAGAAACAACAACAACTATCGGGCTCTAGCTCTGGCTCCACCATGGGGTGCAGAAGCAGAGTAGCCCCAGGGCCTGGCCCTGATGACTGTTCCTTTCTCCCCACAGGTATAGCCTTCACAGACCTCCCGGTGAGTACTGCTATTGGGTCTTCCCCTCCTGGGTTCCTGGGGGCTGACTGGGATGGGGCACAGTAGTACCTGCAAGTGCAGGGTGTAGAGTCTGGTCCTTTTCCCAACCAGGGATGTGTGCCTTGCTGTCAGCTTGAGGGTACCAGGAAGGGCACTTACTGGCCTTCCTCTCTTTCCAGCAGCAAGGTCTGGTCTTCCTACAACTCTTAGCAGGTGACAGTAATTTGTGACACTTCCAAAGGCAGCTGTGGGGCTGGGGGGGTAGGGTGGTGGCATGAAGATAGCTCCATGGCTCAGCTGGTCTAAGCCAGCTCTGTGTCAACTGGGGTGCAGAGTGTACGGAATTTTTCCAGTCCCTGTACATACTCATCAGAGATCCCTGAGGAAAGCCAATGCCTTCTGGGAACTCATCTGCTACTCCCTAGGGTACCCCCAAGCCAGGGAAGTGAACTTTGTGGGGTCTTCTCTTCTTAGAAAAGGATGGGGTTTTCTACTTGCTTAGTTCAGTGTGCATCCTCACCTCCAGCCATCCTGTACCTATACCCCAGTCCCTCTTTATTTTGAGTCATCACAGGCCTAATCACATGTAGGGCCTCCACCCAGGATACTGGGAGCCTGGCCTAGCTCTGTGTGTTCTGTTTGGGCTCTAGAAGGAGGGAAGGTTTGCTGATCTGGTGGCTGTTTTGGGATCCTCAATACCCGAGTGATGCCCCAGGAAATGCCTTTGTGATCTTATGGGCCTCTGAAGCCCAGACCATAGTACCCAGGGTCCTTTTAGAACCTCCTGTCCATGGTTCAGAATCCTTCCCTCCTACCTGGAAGCCTGAGAGGGGCTGTGATTCTAGGCAAAGAGAACAGATTCAGGAGGAGAATGCTGTCCCTGGCTAGGGAAGAGTCTAGTTATGGGGATGTGACATGAAATGGCCAGTTTTGAGCATGGCCAGTATGCAGCCACATGCAAGAAAGTATGGGGGATGACATTGCGGGCGGTGACAGTCAAGGCAAGTTTGCTGGAGGAGGCGGGCTTTGCCTTGGTGTGGAGGATGGGAGGGGAAAGAAAGGAACTGAGAGGTCCTTGCGTGCAGAGCCGGTGGTAGGCTGAAGCCAGCATACAGGAAAAGATCCCACACCTTGTGCAGATACAAAAGTGCATGGTTGGCTGGATGTGGTAGCTCACACCTGTAATCCCAGCACTTTGGGAGGCCAAGGCGGGCGGATCATCTGAGGTTGGGAGTTTGAGACCAGCCTGACCAACATGGAGAAACCCCATCTCTACTAAAAATACAAAATTAGCTGGGCATCGTGGGGCATGCCTTTAATCTCAGCTACTTGGGAGGCTGAGGCAGGAGAATTGCTTGAACCCAGGAGGCAGAGGTTACAGTAAGCGGAGATTGCACCATTGCTCTCCAACCTGGACAACAAGAGCAAGACTCCATCTGAAAAAAAAAAAAAAAAAGAAGTGCATGGTACTCAAAAAGGAACATGGCTTGAGCATGGAGGTAGAGTGGTCTGGGGGAGCTCAGGGAAGGCCATCTGCAGTGACAGTGGAAAGGAGGCTAGCGAGGCTCTGGACAGTAGCAGCAGGGAGCCACAGGAACCACAAAGTGAGGGAGGGACTGGGCAAAAGCCAGTAATGGCAGGGGCTAGGTGGAAAGCAGGGAGTCCCACACCCCACTGGCCAGATCCACCTCTTAGCAAGCCTCTAACAGGAAAGGCAGCTTCTCTTCACCCTTTGCCAGCGCCAGGGGTCTAGACCACCAGTTCCCTTTTGCCATGCTCCCCTCCTCCCTTCTTTCCTGCGTCATCCCATCTCTGCTGGCCCCCTCATTTATCTTTTTTTTTTTTTTTTGAGACAGGGACTCACTCTTGTCACCCAGGCTGGGTTGCAGTAGCACAATCACAGCCCACTCACTGCAGCCTCAATTTCCTGGGATCAAGCGATCTTCCCACCTCAGCCTCCTGAGTAGCTGGGACCAGAAGTGCACACCACCACACCTGGCTATTTTTATTTTTTTATTTTTTGTAGAGACAGAGTCTCACTTTGTTGCCCAGGCTGGTCTTGAAATCCTGGACTCAAGCGATCCTCCTAACTTGGCCTCCCAATATCTGGGATTACAGGCATGAGCCACCGTGCCCAGCCTCATGTATCTATTTTTTGTGGCAGAGATATCCTCGGCCCTGGATCTTTCCAAGAGGAGCCATGATCCACCATTGCAGCAGACCTTCATGGGCACGTCTGCAGGGTTGTGACACCCAGCCCATCTCTGTATGCCTTGGCTGTGTTTCAGAAGGGGTTCTTGAGCCTTGAGGACACAATGGCCTCTGATGCAGGGCGGGATACTCTCCATGTTGTGCCTTGCTTGCTTTTCTTTTGCTTTCTCCCCTCAAGCTTTGGGGCATAGTGTGTCTGCTAGGGAGGTAGGCAGAAGGTGGCTCCGCCATGCCTCCTCCAGCCTTGCTGCAACTCTCCCAGCCCAAGCATGGGCCAGCAGCAGCCATGGAGGTGAGGTGAAGCCTCACCACCCCGCTGCCCTCAGGGCCTGACTGACATTTCATTCTCCTCCTCAGGCCAACCTCTACCCCACCGTAGGCCTGCAGACACCTGGGGAGATTGTGGACGCCAACTTTGGGCAGCAGCCCTTCCTGTTTGACATTGAGGACTACATGCGGGAGTGGCGTGCCAAGGTCCAGGGCACGGTCCACTGCTTCCCCATCAGTGCCCGGCTTGGCGAGTGGCAGGCAGTGCTGCAGAAGTGAGTGCCCTGCTCCCGCCCTTACCCACTCCCACCCCACCCCAGCCCTCTCCACTCTAGGCCCCTGTAGTGCTACAAGCTGTCCTTAGAAATTCCAGCTGGTGGATCCTGTCTGGGAAGCATTCCCAGGGCGATTCAACCTGCGGCTCTCCCGTTTCCCTCTTGTTGGATGGACAGCTTCCGCCAAGTTCTCCAGGCTGCTCCTAATTAAATCTTTGCCCCTAAGCCAGATTGGAGGCTACTGTACATAAGATCACCAGCAGGGCTGTTTTCCTTCTCCAGGTCATTTTGCAGAGGATTTTGCAGAGGATGCCCTGTGGTCTCTTCCTCTGTGGACCCTTTTCTACCATAGGGAGTATCCATCATGCCGTGACTCTGGCCTGAGGCCACCTCACAGGGCCCAGCATCCAACTGAGTCTCATTCGTCTATTGCAGTGGTGGAGGGAAGGGAGTCCTCCCTAGGACCAGCTGAGCTAGCTCCTTGGCTGATTAATTCCCAGACTGTCCTGCAAGCCAGTGTTGCTGAGACTCCCAAGGGAGGCCAGCTTTGGGTCTCTCTTCCACTTGCCATCTGCAAGCCTGAGTGAGGCAGTGACCAGTACCCACTCTGCTAGGAGGTGGGTGTTAGCTTGGCTCCCAAGGATGGGCAGATGGGCATGGGGAAGGGCTGGGCTTCTGCTACCTCTGGTCATTGCCCTGCAAAGGCACCAGGGTGCTAGGGTCCCCTTGGTGGGGTTGGGGGGCACACTGGGTTCTTTCTGCAGCCTTTGTCTCTTGAGGCAGGCCCCAAGGGTGGGCTGAGGCAGGGGCTAGGTGACCAGACCTTCCCCAGGAAGAACAGCATTGCTGCCTTTTGTTCCCAGCCCTCCAGAGCAGATGACAAGGACTTCCTTGGATGGCCAGGACAGCACCACTCCCATAGCAGGCTTGCTGGGATGGGCAAGGAGAGGAGTGAAGCTGCCAAGTCTGTGTAGGGGAGGGACTGATACTCTCAGTTTTCAGGGCCTAGGCTCAGCACATGGATGTGTTTTTGTTTTTGGGTTTTTAAAAAAATATTGAGATTGGGGTCACACTGTGTTGCCCAGGTTGGACTCCTGGGCTCAAGTGATCCTCCCACCTCAGCTTCCTGAGTAGCTGGCATCACAGGCATGTGCTACCATGTCTGGCATAGCACATGAGTGTTTTTGTTTACATGTGTGTATCCATGTGCTTGTATGTGTTTATATGTAGCATTTGCCGAGACCTGGATATAATTTGTGTACTATGGTTTTATATAACTTCATTTAGTCAATATTGATAATGGCTATGTTATCTCAGAGACAAATTCGTTACAAGTCTTTTGGCTGGCTTTCTCTAGTGGAAGGTCAGGTAATTTCCTCTCTTTTACTTGTGTAGGTAACCCTCTCATAGAAAAATAATATTTTATATTTACCTTTGTGTTTATAATAATATGGTGTAATAATAATAATTCTTTTTTTTCTGAGTCAGGATTTCACTCTATTGCCCAGGCTGGAGTGCAGTGACACAGTCATGGATCACTGCTGCATCAACCTCCTGGGCTCAAGCAGTCCTCCTACCTCAGTCTCCCGAGTTGCTGGGACTGGAGGCATGCACCACCATGCCTGGCTAATTTTTTGTATTTTTTGTAGGGACAGGGTTTCGCCATGTTGCCCAGGCTGGTCTCAAACTCCTGGGCTCAAGTGATTTGCCTGCCTCATACTCCCAAAGTATTGAGATTACAGACGTGAGCCACCACACCAGGCAATAATTATTTTTAAAGTAGAGATGAGATCTTACAATGTTGGCCAGGGTGGTCTCGAACTCCTGGCCTCAAGTGATCCTCCCACCTTGTCCTCCCAAAGTTCTGGGATGACAGGCATGAGCCATCATGCCCAGCTGATAATTATTACTTACAATATTATGTAATACATCGTTTCATAATAAGTTTTATTTATGGACTTCTTCCTGCCAAGCACTTTATGTATATTATCTCATTTGCCCCTTAAAGCCTGAGGGAACACACACCCAAACTTCTGTGCCTTCCACCCGACAGCCCTTCAGACATTTGTGTTTATAGTTAATAGTAATGACATCAGACATGGACACACCAAGGTATTCACTCCTGTACACATTGGATTTGAGGGTTCAGCCTATGCTCTACATGTATGTATACATGTACACACATGTACCACTGTTCAGCCAGCTTCTGCTGGGGTTAAATGGCTACTGGGGGTCAGATTTCTCCAGGCCATTTCCCAATGACATGTGTTCCTGTTGGCCCTGCTGCTGCCTGTCTCTTCCTGGCAAAATCAGCCTGATCACTTGGCTTTTGGGCCTCTGATTTGTGGCGTATCATGGTGTAACTCTGGGTTGTGAGTTAGCTTCCCATCACTCACTCTCTAGAGCTAGAACTGCTGAGAGCAGGTTCACCTGGGGGGCTGAAACGTTTCCACCAGTGCATGCGGCAGCCTGCAGAGGGGCTCCTGTCTCTGTAGAAGGTGTGTATGCCGTATGCATCCTGTCTGGGAAGCTGCCAGATTACCTGGCTAGCTGCAGTTTCCAGAAGCTGTCAGTGAGACCATTGGCCTCAAAGGCTTGCTGCAGTTCCCAAGGAGGCAGCCACCTGCGAGGAGATGGAGTGTGCCCATGTGTGTACTTCTGTTATCGTATTTGCTTACCTGTGGGCAGCATGTGTCAGAGAAACTGCAGCCACTCCTGTGAACTGTAGGCACAGATGTTACCAGCCCCTGCACAGCCTGACTTGATGAGCATGGGGCACTGTGGGGGAAGTTTTCATATTATTTCAGCCCTTTTATTCTCATTCTGTGGAGGTTATACCTCCAGGACGTGTTTAGGGAGACCTCTAGGGGAGGTAGTCTGTCCATTGGGTGGTCAGTGAGAAGTGCAGTTCTTGAGTGTCACCTGGAGCTCTTACTTTCTTCTAGCATGGTCTCATCTTACCTCGTGCATCATGGGTATTGTGCCACAGCCACGGCTTTTGCTCGAATGACTGAAACCCCGATTCAGGAAGAACAGGCATCCATAAAGAACAGACAAAGTAAGATTTATTCTACTTTCCCCTTTCCCTTCCTCACCTGTCCCTAACACTACTCTCTGGCTCATGCCAACCCTGGTTAACCTGTCAGGAGTCCATTCATCTCTGGTCCTCACTGCCAGTCTGCAGCCCCAGGCCATGTTCCTGTCCCACCTTCAAGACGGCACTGCTCAGATGGACAGTTGGCAGGATGGAGATGTCTCAGGGCAGCCTCCCTAATGCACATTCTGAAGGCCGAGCGCAGGCCAGGCCTTAGCATGGCTGGTTCCATTCCTCCATTTCCTCTCTGCTTGTTTCCTTTCCTCAGAATTCTGGATTCCTGTTAGCCTCCTGTTCATGGTCTTCCAGAAAGACTGTTTGCCTCCTACCGGACAAACGTTCTGCTTTTCTCACCATTTGCTTAGCCTTAGTAGTTCTGCTTATTCCTAGCCAGAGAGGGGATGGAAGTGGTCAGACAGGGTGAAGCCATTGCACAGTGGCTGCTGTGGGAGCACTTCTCTCTGCTCCTCCCCTCTGGTCCTGTCCTTTGCAGACAACCTAGAGTCCTCCCCTGGCCAGAGCTCTCCCAGTGTTGATGCTGGCCTGGATGCTGTATGTCTGGAGGCTTCTTCATGGAAGGAAGGGTGTTGGACAAGAGGAAAGAGAGCCCAGTGAGGAGATAGGAGGAGAAAAGGAGAGCAAGGGCGAGTGTGTGTGTGTATACGTGTCTGTGAATGCCTACCTGCGGCTCTCCGAGCCTGTTGTCTCTTGTGTATGTGCATGTGTCTGTCTCCCAGAGAAGCTATGCTCAGCCAGACAGATGGAAAGGGATCCCAGACTTGGGATCTATGAATGAAAGCCTCAGACCCTGAAGTTGCTCCCAGCAAGATGAACCAGGCCCCACGGCAAGAGCGAAAAGGCAGCAGCAAGATGCTGATGGCCTGAGAGGTGTCAACGTCAAAGGTGCCAACATGAGGAGGATGGCCTCCTCTCCCAGCAGGGGGCATGCTGCAGCCCCTGAAGACTGCCAGGCACAGCCCTGATCAGAAACCAGTGTGATTCCATTGCCATTCCCCTGTGAGGCCTGGAAAGAGAGGAGTCTGTATGAAGAAGAGCCCCTCAGGCCACCACGCTGCCTGGGTGCCTATCCTCAGATCATGTAGCCCCAGCTGGGGCCCCACCCTGCCCCCAGGTCCCTGGTGGTACCCTTTGCCCCGCAGGAACAAGCCTCCACATTCACCCTCCTGCCTTTGGGCTGAGAGTCTCTCCTCCATCTTCCCTGTATTCTTGAGGACTCTGATGCTTGGCAGAAACTAGGATCTGTTGGGCCAGGCAGCCAGGTTCTTTCTCCAGCCTCCTCTCCTCTGAGCATCTCAGGCTGGCAAGGCACTCTTTGCCAGCTTATCTAATCATGGCCTGCCCCTGCTCCGAGGTAGCAGCATCCCAGGTGTGTGGCTATGGGGGAGGCCTGTAGCCCTCACTCACTGCTGTGTTTTTGCTCCCTGCAGAAATCCAGAAGCTGGTGCTGGAGGGTCGTGTGGGCGAGGCCATCGAGACCACCCAGCGCTTCTACCCAGGGCTGCTGGAGCACAATCCCAACCTCCTCTTCATGCTCAAGTAAGTCGGGCACCCCCAGCTCCCCCAGAGTCCAGCCCACCTCAACTAGTGGTGGGAACGTCAGCCTGGACCACAACCAGAGCACTGTTGCTCTGCTCCCTCTGCAGGTGCCGGCAGTTTGTGGAGATGGTGAATGGGACAGACAGTGAGGTCCGCAGCTTGAGCTCCCGAAGCCCCAAGTCCCAGGACAGCTACCCTGGCTCCCCCAGCCTCAGCCCCCGACATGGCCCCAGTAGTTCCCACATGCACAGCACAGGTCAGCCACTCTCCAGAGGGCTCTGGGAAGAACTGGTGTGGAGAGAGGCCACATACCCTTTCCTGGGCTGGGCTCAGGCCTCACTGCTGGATTTGGGAGAAGGGAAATGGGACCACTGTGGTTATTCTTGGGGCTCCGCTTGATGCCAAGCTGCCCCTCCTCTTCTGACTGTTCCCCTCGCTTCCAGGAGCAGACAGTCCCAGCTGTAGCAATGGCGTCGCATCCACCAAGAGCAAACAGAACCACAGTAAATATCCTGCACCCAGCTCCTCATCCTCGTCCTCCTCCTCCTCGTCCTCCTCTTCCCCATCCTCCGTCAATTACTCCGAGTCCAACTCAACAGATTCCACCAAGTCCCAGCCCCACAGCAGTACCAGTAACCAGGAGACCAGGTGCCTGCCTTGCTCTGCTTCCTCCTCTGCCTTCTGCCCTATGCCACCTGGGCCCACTGCAGTCTGTCCTTTGAGTGCTCTGCCCTTCACCCTCAGCCTCCGTCTCAGGTCTGTGCCTGGAGTCCTAACTTTTGGCCCACCAGGCCAGACATGAGCTCTGGCTTCTGGCCCTCCCCATGATTTAGCTGCATTTTCCTTGGCCTTGGGTTTCTCCAGAGGCTCCAGTGATGCCAGGCTGAGGATGAATGTGGTCTCCTCCAAAGAGGCTGGGCCTGTGAGAACCCTCAGGGTCCATTGTGAAGGAGCTTTCCCTGGTCTGGCTCTGTAGACAGCCAGGTTGGACAAGCAGGGGAAGCTAAGCTGCAGGCTAGAGGTCTGAGTGGCTCTCAGCATCCCCAGGTATGCCTCAAGACTAACCTGGGTTTGGCTCCTAACCAAGGTCACAGAGATGCCCATGGGGACCATGGGACCCAGTCATTAGGATGGGGGATATGTAGAAGAGGTATGTGAACTCAGAGGAGGACCAGGGAGGGGAGAATCACAGAGGCAGCACTGGGACAAGGGTGGGAATCAGGTGACAGGCCTTTGAGGATAGCTGGTGTCACAGTAGGGACCAAGTGCTGAAGACTTGGAAGCTTCAGCTGTCCCTTCATGCTCCTGGGGGGTCCTTGGTTTACCCACAGCAACTCATGGCTAGAGCTTGAAAGGAGGCCCAACCAGGCTGCTCCAACCACACCCCCTGGGCCAACTCCCACCTCAACCCTTCCCCACAGCGACAGTGAGATGGAGATGGAGGCAGAGCACTACCCCAACGGTGTACTAGAAAGCATGTCCACGCGCATTGTTAATGGTGCCTACAAGCATGAGGACCTGCAGACGGATGAGTCCAGCATGGGTGAGAGCCACGATCTGGTGTGATATCTCTGAGGGCAATGTGCAGTCTGGGTGCCGAGGCTGGTGTGATATTCTCTGAATGGGCAGTGTGCAGTCTGGGTGCCAAGCCTAGTGTGATATTCTCTGAGACAGCAATGTGCAGTCTGGGTACCCTCTTCCCCTGAGAGGGTGCTGGGATAGGCAGGCTTTGGCATCTTGAGAAGCTCCAGCCAGACCTGGTCCACTGCCTCCTTAGACAATTGTGGATGGGTCCTTGAGGTGGCTCCAAATGTAAGAAGGCCATGGCCTGTGCCAAGACCACACCAATGTTTGAGAAAGGGGGACAGCTTCAAAGTCATCCCTGACCCGTAGACTGCGCCAAGTGGACTAAGAGAAGAACACCTTGACTGTAGCTGCCCCACCTGTTCCTCCCAGCCCTGCCTTCCTCTGGCAGAAGCTGCAGCCCACCCGCGGTCCTTCCTGCCCCACCCCAGTCCTGCCCTTCCCTCCTCACCCCTCCTAACTTGTTCTCCACTGGGTTCTGGATGCAGATGACAGGCATTCTCGGCGGCAGCTCTGCGGGGGCAACCAGGCTGCCACAGAAAGGATCATTCTGTTTGGCCGCGAGTTGCAGGCATTGAGTGAGCAGTTGGGCCGGGAGTATGGCAAGAATTTGGCCCACACAGAGATGCTGCAGGTACAGGATGAACTGGGCCTCATGCAGAGCAGGCCCCCCCATTTGGTAGTAGGGCAGGGTGGCTCTGGGAGAGTCAAGGGGGCAGCAGGAAAGAGTGGGCTCCAGCCGGGTTTGCAGAGGGAAGTGGGGCACCTGGGCCCACTGGACGTGCGACCTCCACACCCAGGTTCTGGGGGAGAGTACAGACTGCCCGACCCTACACCCTACATTCCAGGCTGGGCACCATGCAGGGCCCTGTCTCCCTCTGGAGCCACGGGGAGCAGGGCAGGCTATAGTGTGTGCCACAGTCCTCTCAAGAATGCCCTGTCCCTTAGGATGCCTTCAGCCTGCTGGCATACTCAGACCCCTGGAGCTGCCCAGTTGGCCAGCAGCTTGACCCCATCCAGAGGGAACCTGTGTGTGCTGCCCTTAACAGCGCCATTTTAGGTGAGTGAATCTATTTATTTTTTTATTATTATTAAAGACAGAGTCTGCTCTGTAGCCTAGGCTGAAGTACAGTGGCACAATCTGAGCTCACCACAATCTCCACCTTCGCCTTCCGGGTTTAAGCGATTCTCATGTCTCAGCCTCCCAAGTAGCTGGGACTAAGATGTGCGCCACCACGCCTGGCTAATTGTTGTATTTTTAGTAGAGATGAGGTTTTGCCACGTTGGCCAGGTTGGTCTCAAACTCCTGGCCTCAGGTAATCCACCCGCCTCAGCCTCCTAAAGTATTGGGATTACAAATATAAGCCACCATGTCTGGCCTAGGTGAGTGGATCTACCAAAAGCAGAAGCTGGCCCTGCCCCAATTGGCCCCAGAAAGAGCTGATGTTTGTCCATATTGGGGCACCAAGCTCTGCGCAGGCCCTCTCTGGTGACTCAGGACTTGCGGGCTCCGTGGTTGAACCTAAACCCTGACCTCCTTCTGTGCAACTGAGTTCATGATGGGCATGATGGGTTCTAGGCCATGACTGGGCCCAGGCTGGCGTAGAGCTAAGGTCCTCAAATTCCTGGCATGACTTCAGGGCCATAGCCTGGTGGCTGGGACACACTTACACAGAGGTACTACACTCTGTTCCAAGAGAATCTTTCCACCCCCAAGGGAACTTTGACCTGGACAGGGTGGTGACCAGGCCTTGTCTTTCCTCCACAGAGTCCCAAAACCTGCCAAAGCAGCCCCCTCTGATGCTTGCCCTGGGCCAGGCATCTGAGTGTCTCCGGCTCATGGCCCGAGCAGGCCTGGGATCTTGCTCCTTTGCCAGAGTCGACGACTACTTGCACTAGCTGACCATGCTGACTGGCTCTGGCTGGCCCTCTGCTGGCCCCAGGGCTGGAGCTGCCCTGCCCTCCATAGGCACCTGGTGCAGGGACTCGGAAGCCATGGGTAGAGTCCACTCCTCCTGCCTGGCCTTTCCCCCTCCCTTTCTTTCTTTCTTTCTTTCTTTCTTTCCTTCCTTCCTTCCTTCCTTCCTTCCTCCCTCCCTTTCCTCCCTTTCCTCCCTTCCCTCCCTTCCCTCCCTTCCCTTCTCTGCCCACCACCCCCCTCAGTCTCTCCCCTTCACGTGCAGCGGCCTGTGACACAGTATTGGCTGGTTACTCTCATGTAGCGCCTTCTATTTTGAAAGGGGGGGTTTGTTTTGAGGAGGGGTTGGGGTTTTTAAATTTTTTTTCTCCTGACTGAGCCACCAGTATTTATCTCTGGAGAGTTTGTGCTGAGCTGGTTTCTGCTAATTTAGTGATGAAGCCTATCCAAGTTGGTGATAGCTTATTATTTTCATAAGTAAAAAACAAATGAGATTATATATATATATGAATATATATATTAAAAAGACAGTATTTATCGTAGCATTAGTGGTCCAGCACCTCTTGGGTGAGGCTGTCCAGGCACCATGTTTTGAGTCCAACTCATTAAAAAAGAATAATCTCCGTCACCACAGCCAAGTGATTTCTTTTTTTGCTCCCCCTTTTTTGAGCTACAGGCTGAGCTACAGCCTAGGGAACCCAAATAGGGTTTGGTGGACCACTTAGTGGGCATGGTCAGGTTGGTTTAGCACCCCAAGAACTGTGGGTCCCTAGGCCCCTGAGACCTGTACAGAGCAGAGAACTATAGGGCCAAGGGTCCATAGAAGTGGTAACTTGGCCCAGGGCCACACAGCAGAGCTCGAGGGTCCTTAGCCAGCACACTGTCTACCACTCTACCCCACCTCCCATCATCTGCCTTGCTCCCCTTTCCTCTCTTGTCAATACTCTACCTTCCCTTGTCATTAAGATGGCCAAATAATACATTTACTCTAAATTGATTGCCTGGAAACAATCTGCCTTCAACCCGAAAGCTTCTGTGTGTCAGGCTGCCAGAAAGAAGACTCCATTCCCAGGACAGAGACCCTTGAGTACCAGGGCTACTTTCTTCCTGCCTGGATCTTCACCATCTCTGCATTGCTCTGAAAGAATGAATGCTTTCTGTTGAGAAACGAGTACCTTGTGAAGGCAGGTTCTTGGGCCGCTACTCCAGTGAGTGAATAGAATCGTTGGTCCTCTAGGTCAGACTTCACTGCCACTGTGCCAGACAGCTCCCTGCAGCTGGGTCCCAGTCACTCTTAGGAAACTGTTGGGAGTATTGCTGGCCAGAGATGGGACTCCATCAGCTTTACAGATGTCCCGCCAGCTGTTTCAAATAGATCCTCACAGCTGGTAGAGTAAAAATGGTCCCGCTACCATTGGGGAATCAGTAAAGGAAGGGCTAAGATGGCTGCCAGGATTTGGGTGGCCCATCTGTGGAGAGGACTGGCTGCCCTGGAAGAGGAAAGGGAGGAAGCCTACGCAGAGGAACACCAGGATGGGCTGGAATTTCCATATGTGCTTCACAGTGAGGGAAGTGCACAAGCCACCCATGCAAAGAGTAGGGTCAGCCATGGCAAGGCCAGAAGTTGAACTTTCAGTCCCTGCCTGAATCTGGGCTGGGCGAGCTCCTACTCCATATTGGTGGACATGGGAATGGTTGGTGTGGCCTGAGATACTCATTGCTCACCAGGCCTCACTGGGCCCACAGTTGGGCAACAAGAAAAATGATTGAATTGGACCAACTGCTGGTGATGGGGCCAGGGCCCTGGCCCTGGCCCTGTGCTCTCAGAATTCTGCCTTGGGAGATGATCCTATAGCTGCTGCTTTTCCTTGGTTGTTGGGGGTGGCAGCCCATAAACCATGGTCTGTTAGGAGGCATTGTCCTGTTTGTAAAGGAAATTGATCTCCTGTGCCAGCCTGGAGCTACCTAGCTCCCAAACCCAGAGGTTAGAAACATCACAGTCTAGCAGGATTGGGAATTAAAACCACAGGCTTTTGCAGCTGGAATGGGGTTCAATGAACATCTCCCCTATTCCTCTCCTGCTACAGATAACGAAACAGGCCCAAGAGATTAAGTGACTTGACTAAAGTCACAAAGCAAATTAATAGCAGAGCCAGGACTATCCCTTATCCCTGTGGGTTGGGCAACACTGTTTATTTAGTCCTGAAACTGAATGGCAGATAAGCCCCATGATGGGTTAGGCTGATGTGCATGCTCTCCAGCAGTATCTGAGCAGCTGCTACCTTCAGGGGTGTGTCAGGGATGAGGATGGGTGCCTAGGCTTAGGTTGTGGAGTGGCTGAGAGAGGACCCAGGAGGGCTCGGGACAGCTATGTGCTGCATGGGGTTGGGTGTCTGCCTGGCTCGCACTCAGTACCCATGGCCACCTCCCCATTTTCTGTGCCTTATCTCACTGTTTCAGCTGAGTCCAAGTTGTTTACTCTGTTCCTCTCCAGAGGGGCTCTCAGTCCCAGCTGGACAGCTCACCTTTGGGACATAAGCCTTTGCCCCACAAGCCGTGGAGAGGTCCAAAACCAAGCTGCTTGAGCCCATTCTCTTGCTGATAGTCCAGGCCTGCCTGCCAGCCAGAGGTGCCCCTTATGCACACCCAGTCCTACCAGCCTGCTTCCAGGAGCCTAGAGTGGTAAAGGTACCTGGGAAGAGCCCTGGTAAAGGGCTGGACCTGACCTGTCGGGGCAGGAGAAAGACCTGGCTTTGGTTGGCCAGCCCTGGGGAGCAGCCTTCCCTACTCACTTTCTGCTTGTGGCACCAAATGGTCACTCATTCCAGAGCAAAAACCGGCAGGGCACTCATAGCAAGCCAGAACCCCTATCCCTATCCACATGGGTCTATGGCTAGGTGCAGGCCATCAATATAGGGACACCACGAGACAGAATTGGGGACTGCTTGGCCACCTGGCGCCTTCCCACTCCTTAAGCAAGCACAAAAAAGATGAGGCAGAGAACTGTCAGAGCTGAAAGTTCCTTTGGTTGCCCACAACTCAGGTATGCACACCGTGTGGCAGCCAGGCAGTGGAGCCCTACCATACCGCCAGTCTCGCGCACCCAGACCTGTGGCCAGATTATGGCCTCTGGCTGCCTCAGGCATTTGCTCCTTTGCATCGGGTTTTCCTCTATTAGTAACTACAGCTGAAACAGACATCCTCCACATTGTGCACACTGGTTCTGCCTTTGTCCTTGAGAGTTGATACTTGGCATTAGCATGAAACTTGTGGGTGTGGGAGGGTGGAGAGAACTCTAACACAAAACATCCTATTAAAATTGTACTTGAGATAAAAAAAAAAACAAACCTCCTGTTGTATTTTGACAGAATTATTTTTATTAAAATACACATCCATGAGCAGTTGTGTGTTTGGTCTCTGTTTTGAGTCTTATTGAGGTTGGCACCCCTTCTGTGACACATCCTGTCCTGAATGATTTGGGCCCTTCCCAGCCTCTCAAGTGCCCAGGCCCTTGGGTGCCTCCTCAAGGACCCTTGAAACTGTGTATTTGTAAGACCCCAGAGAGGACTGATCCTTAAATCTCAATTCTCTCTTGAAATGACTTTCATCTTAGGCAAGGAAAAAGTAGTAAATTCAACTAAACAGCCTGGGCGCAGTGGCTCACGCCTATAATCTCAACACTTTGGGAGGTGGATCCCTTGAACTCAGGAGTTCAAGAACAGCCTGGGCAACATGGTGGAAACCTGTCTCCACAAAAAATACAAGTTAGCTGGGCATGATGGCACATTCCTGTGGTTCCAACTATTCAGGAGGCTGAGGTGGGAGGATCACTTGAGCCCAGGAGGTCAAGGATGCAGTGAGCTAAGATCGTGCCGCTGCACTCCAGCCTGGGCAACACAGTGAGACCCTGTCTCAAAAAAAAAGAAATTAAAAAAATTCAGCTAAAGAGAGGCCACAAGAACTTCTCCCCACAAAAATAGGGTATCAAGAATACATTCTAGGACCAGGTCCAGTGGTTCACACCTGTAATCCCAGCACTTTGAGAGGTCGAAACAGGCAGATACCTGAGGTCAGGAGTTCGAGACTAGTCTGGCCAACATGGTGAAACCCCATCTCTACTAAAAGTACAAAAGCCAGGTGTGGTGCTGGGTACCTGTAATCCCAGCTACTCAAGAGGCTGAGGCAGGAGAATTGCTTGAACCCCAGAGGCAGAGGTTGCAGTGAGCTAAGATCACACCATTGCACTCGACCCTGGTGACAAGAGCAAAACTCCATCCCCCCGACACTGAAAAAGAACGAATGCATTCCAGGGCCAGGTGCAGTGGCTCATGCCTGTAATCCTAGCACTTTGGGAGGCCAAAGCAGGAGGATCGCTTGAACCCAGGAATTTGAGAACAACCTGGGCAACACAGTGAGACCCTGTCTGTAGGGTCCAGCCCTACAGAGTTCTGTGAGTCCGTCCCGGTTGGTGCAGAAATGAGAAATTGTAGATATAAAAGGCACAGACATGGAGATAGAGAAAAGAGAGTTTGGGCCCAGGGGTCCACAGCTACCCAAATCGAGGAGACCAGCAGTGGCTCCAAATGCCGGGACAAGCTCTCACTTTTATTGAGTTGCAAATCTGGGGACAGGATAGGTAGGGTGTGGTCTTGGTGGTCAGAGACTGGGGGCAGGGTGGATGGGGTGCGACAGTGATGGGGTCAAGCACATCACGTCATTCAGGTAGGGGCTCAGGAATTTCTGGCACCCGAAGTAAGGTAAGGAGCATAATGCATCAGCACTTTTTCCATACTTATCAAGAAAGAACTAAAACATTAAGATTTATATTACTATTACTGATTATCTTTTCTAAGAAAAAAGGAACCAGGTGCAGAAGCAGAACATGAGAATAGACATGGAACGTGACCACCAAAGCACAGCATCACATAGAGACAGTTAACCCCCAGATGTCTACAGGCCTGCCTGACAGTCATCAGGCCTACCACAAGAGCTTGGAGAAGCAGAGTTTTCTCCAGACTTCCCCAAGAAAGAGACGTCTCAGCCATTTTGGACATCTCCTTCTCTAACTGGCTAAATGGGGCGCTTTCACAGCGCTGGCACCGCTGCACAGCTGAGGCGCCCTGCAGCAGCCCTTAGGCGGGCATGACAGAGGGCTTAAAGCATCTTGCCTTAGTGTCATTCATTTCACAATGTCGCCCCAGGTTCACACTTCCAACCTCAGAGGCATTAGTAAAAGAATTAAGATCACCTACGCATAACTAAGATCACGTATGAATAACTAATAACTACTACCGGTTATATTTCTAGTTACTTTTGTCTTCATTATTTATATGGAAATAGGCTGAGGCCTTTTGCTCCTGCCTTGGTGTTTATGGGGTCTCCCCCCACACCTGTCTCTACAAAAAGTCAAAAAATTGGGCCGGGCGCAGTGGCTCACACCTATAATCCCAGCACTTTGGGAGGCCAAGGCGGGTGGATCACGAAGTCAAAAGATCGAGACCATCCTGGTCAACATGGCGAAACGCCGTCTCTACTAAAAATACAAAAATTAGCTGGGCATGGTGGCGCACGCCTATAGTCTCAGCTACTTGGGAGGCTGAGGCAGGAGAATTGCTTGAACCCAGGAGGCGGAGGTTGCAGTGAGCTGAGATAGCACACTGCACTCCAGCCTGGATAACGAGCAAAACTCCATCTCGAAAAAAAAAAAAAAAAAGTCAAAAAATTTAGCTGGGCATGTTGGTGTGTGCCTGTGGCCCCACCTCCTTAGGAGGCTGAGGTTGGAGGATTGCTTGAGCCTGGGAGATTTCAGGTTGCAGTGAGCCATGATCATGCCACTGCACTTCAGCCTGGGTGACAAAGCAAGGCCCTGTATTAAAAAAAAAAAAAAAATCAAGAATACATTCCAAATATGCTCACCTCAAATACTGCACAAAGTTTTCTGGAGGTACCTCTTCTGCGAGCTTGTTTTTGGTTTTTGGGGTGTCTTATGAGACAAAGTCTTGCTTTGTC